CGATGTTGTATGTCTGATCTAACACTCTGAAAATTTGTTGCTGTGCTCCTTCTGCTTAGTCTGCTTTATGGCTTTATCAAGCCTAAAGCCTTTTGAAGTCTGTGGGTCATTTTCTTTTCTTCATATTGTATATTGTTTCTAACTGAATTAGCTTCTAACTAATCTGTCACAGATTTAATTATGGTACACAATCACAAGGGAGTTGCTTTTTCCTGATAATGAGCAAGGAACTATTAAATAAGGAAAACGGTGGTGTCCTTAATTCTAGTTTGGTCTTCCACTTTCTCTGTTTCACTGTGGAGCTACTCCAACCTTTTCTTACTAAAAGATTAAAGAAAAAGTTATATGGATAAAAAGAATAGTTGTGTGTGTCTTCCGTAGAGTATGCAACACCCTGAAAGTGACAGAAATAGTGTTTTCCACACTTTGCAGAAGAGGAATTGTATTCAAGTGTCTTGGTTGCCTCCTCCATGCTATTCTCACCACCACTTTAAGTCAAAGAGACAGACTTGCAACTTTTTAACCTCATCTTCCTGTACTTCTTTCTTCGTGAAGTCTTAGCACTTGGAGATGAGCCTCTTGATGTTGATACTCCTGCTCTGCTCACAGACACGTTGTTTAGAGAGGTTCATCTGTGCCCAGCAGCACTTTCTTGCTGCTATTTTTTCTAACCCCTATTTTCTTTGCTTGATTCCAAGGCTGTTTTGTTATATTTTCTGTGATGAAAGATTTGAGATTATTCCTTCCCTCACTTTGCTAACAGTATACCTACAGCTACACTTCTTCCCTCTGTAGCTTGCTGTATAACATCCTTTAGGTAGGGATTTGGGGTAATAGTAAATATTGCAGTATTCTCCTTGCTCTAGCCTCAGGGTTTACCAGGCCTTTGTACATATGTTAGAAGGATAATATTCTGTGTGAGCATTAGGAATAGGTGAGAGAGGCTTGGTGAAAGTTGTGCTGCTTCCCGCCCCCCCCCGCCCCCCCATCCTGTGGAAGGTGCTTCCTGTTGCTATGGGCAAATGTTTTCTCTGCAAACAGGAAATGATCCCTTCCCCCTCCCCAAACTACTTGTTGAGTTGTGTTGTCAATCTCTGCAGTGGTCAGCTACATCTGACTGTCTTGCTGGGAGGGATGTTCAAGAGTTTATAGCCAGGAATCAGTACTAGCTTTGCTTCTGGTAAACGTGGTGGCAGGTTTATGTATCTGAATGCCCACGTGCAGGATTTCCAAGGGCATCAAGCCACAAACTATTCCTTCCTTCTCTTCTTTCTCTCTCACTCTTGATCTATTTTTTTCCATCTTAAAAAAACAAAATAGCATAAATGGTCTATGCCACAGAAATATGTTTGTCACACTACATCACTTTGAACTGCATAACATCAAAGAAAATCAGGGCTTTGATAGCTTGATTTGAAAGGATTGTAGAAAGAGCCGTCATTATGAATCACAAGAGATAGGAGTGGAAAAGATGGTGATTTTCAAACAACTAAGCTTGTAAGGTAAGGGAAAATGTAAGGTAGGTGCCAGTGCCACATGCTTATCTAAAATACCCCAACCTTACAACTGTTAGGTAGCTTTGCAGGATATGACTGGCTTGAGGATACGAAGCAGAATGAGAAATACTCTGTGTAAAAATGTGTTTCTGAGGAACAAGGAAACAAACATAGGATCAGAAAAGGGCTGGAATAAGGGAGAAAACAACGTATACTGCTTGGGTAGGAACTTCTTCCACTTTCTTCTCTTGGTAGAACCACCTTTCCTGAAAGGAAGGGCATCCAAGATTGATTACTCAGACCCTCCTTGACCCAGACGCCTTCAATTCTTACAAGCTGGACATAGGGAAGAGGAGGGAAGCCCCCCCTGAACTTCAGTGCATTGTCATTCCTCTCCTGAGGAAACTCTCTCCGTGGACTGGAATGAGTTTCTGGCTCTAGGATGTTGCAAGAAATTAGTCCTTAAAATGGTGACTTCTCAACTGCTAACATTTTGGTTTAGGATGATGACAATTCAAATTGGAGTTTAGCTTATTCTTGCCTTCAGTCTAACAGATAGGAGTTAGGGCAGTAAGACGAACTAGCAGCCTGTGGAGTGGCAGGGGGTGCACAGTGGCAGTTAAGCGAAATCAGGGTGTCCTGTCCCATCTTCATCCCTCAGGCGAGTAAGTGCTGGCTGGTGGGGAATACTTATGAAGGTTTCAGTGGCATTGCGTTAGGAGACTTCAGTCTTGTTCAGACACAGCTTTACCACTAGTACTTCATCAGCTGGTCCAAACACACTGAACTAGAAAATACTGCATGTCATTTAACAGTCTCTGTTTCATCCAGTGTGAGGTGATGGTTATATGTCATGAATGCTGAAGTTGTAGCCAGTTGAGGTATAAAAATGGATGCTTCAGTGCTTTTCTGCGATAGGAAATTGAGAGGCAACTAGGGAGGAGAAAGATTCAGAACCTTCACTTTAAGAAAGGCTGGCACAGAAGAATATGCTGTACTGAGGTATTGCTAACACAAACATCCTCTCTGAGGGCTTGTTCCCATTTGGCTTAGGAAAGGGGAATGCTCTCTTTCGTAAATTCCTTCATCTTGGAAGGAGAGGAGTGGGCATACTTCTCTGTTTCCTTTAGAGGGGCAAGATTTACCTCTGTTACACTTTTAAAAACATGGGCTCCTTAGCAACAATGTGAGCAAGCATCTTCCAGGGTTCCTAGTCAGACTAATGTCATGTCAGGTGAACAGAACTGGTATTTCATGTCTTGTCAGCTGTTCAAAACCTTCACCTTTATGTATAAATGCATTTTAAAAATTGAAAAAAATAGTTCTGTATGTTCTACAGAGCACTGATACTGAACTTACTACCAGGCGTGCCTGCTGACTTCATCCATAATAGCATGTAGTGGAGCAGGACTGCATGTAAACTCTTTTAACTGACTAGTCAAGAAACTGCTTTTGTAAGAAAAGAAAAGAACAGGAAAGGGAAGATGGGAAAACGTGTGCTTTGCACTGAGGGCAATACGAAGTTGTTGGCTCCTGAGTTCTGATCCCAAGCCACAGTCATAGGTCATCTTTTTTTGTAACATACTGCTGAATTACTTGAATTGACTTTACCCTTATAAAAGGCATCCCTGCGTTCTTTCTGCCCTAAAAGTACTGCTTTACAAAAAGTTCTGCTAATATTTACCATACAAAAAATATTTCTTCAGTGATAATAGTTTACAATTATAATGTTTGGGTTGTCTGTTTAATTATTAGCTAAGATGAGATCACATTTTTGCATTGTGTATGTTGAGTTGTACCAGTTGAGATACATGTTTATACTTACACTGTGATCTTATAAATGGTAAAGGAGGAGGCATTAACAAGTATCTCTTTCATCAACTGACTTCTTTATATTGCCTTTTTCAAGAAACTGCTTGTCCTCACTTTAAAAAAAGGGAAGGGGAGAGAGAGAGATGGAGACAGGACATGTCCCACACTGATTCACTTGCTAGTGTGTATTGCAGAGAATCAATGGCTAAATGGCTCTGGAGTGTGGAAGAGGAGGAATTGAACTGTTGATCAGGTTATTCTAATTATTTTGATTAAAGCAGAAGGGACGTGGTAGCATTGGCTAATGGGGAGAAGGAGGAGTTTGATTTAGGCCTAGAGGAGTTGAGCTGCAGTCTCTCCTCAAATCAGGGAACTTCTACTGGGGAAAAAAATATGCCTTCAGTGGGAGAAGTTACGTAATTACGCTGAACAAAATCAGTTATACTGACAAAAGCAGTCAGTCAGTTGACTTCTGCCTGAAGAACTCTGTTTAACCAATACTTTAGCCATAAAAGTGATGTACAAGGATTCTGCTAATCAGTATTACTAACCAGCTCCAGCAGAGACTCTCTGAGCATGCAGCACGTGCCGGAGCTGGGCGCTGGTGCTGATTCTGTCTGTAGCTGTAAATGTCATATGGGGACACTACCATTTGAAGGAAAAGCAGAAATATCATCATGTGTGCTGTGTCAAAGAGTTGTTAATAACAACCACAGACACCTCACTGTATGTTATCCAAACATTTTTAGCCTCACTTCCTGAGCAGGTTTTTTAATGTGACTGTGCTGTCTGTCTTCAGCCCTCCACTCTAATATTATTTAAACTTGTTGACTCGTTTTAGCCACAGTTGAGAGAAAGACAGAGGTGTCAAATAGGTTGAGTTTCTGTGTGTTTTGTGAAAACAGGTGGTCAGGTGAAAGAGAGCTCTGCCTTAGTTCTTTCCAACTAAAGCAGCAGCTTTTGAATACATTGTCTTACCCCAGGGACTCCACACAAGAGGGTGTGGGAAGAGGCAAGGGATCCAGCTGTGAAAAAAGTATCAGGCAGACCTCAGACCTTGTAGGACACAGGACAATCCAATTGTAAGGAAAAAACCAACCTGCGGGAAACCGAGCTGTGTCACTACTGCAAGTCAAGGAGTACTCGTTCTCAATGTGGCTGCTGCTCACAGTTGTTACTCATGGTCTGACTGTGGTTTGCCTTGGCTTTGCTAATTCTGTGGCTGAATCCTACCTGCCAAGTCAGCATCCTGTCTGGCTGTCAACGGGACCTGGCTTGAGCTCCTCCGGTGGTGGCCCATTCTGTTGTGAGGAAAATGGGAGCTGTCTGGAGCAAGCACACAGTACTTCTGTGGTCACGGTTTTCAGATGGCCATGGTGTTTAAATGCCCGGTGTCTCAAAGCTAGTCTTCTGCCTTTGTTTCTTGAGAAGTGCTCAGTATCCTTTTGACTGCTGTCTGAACTCTTTGTCATAAATGCCCAAGTTAGTGTATGCTTGTTCAGCACTAGTGCAAGAATACTGATATTTATTCCTCTATTTTTTTCAGGAATGAAAAATGGCTCGTTAGTAGAATAAGTAAATAAAATTTAAAAAGGGTCTCAGATGGGGAAATAATTACTTTTCTTGCTGCAACCTGAGTGTGTACCTCTGGCATGGTGTACAAACCCAGACTTTCCCCTTTTTCTTCTCCAGGCTGTCAGCGCTCCATAGGCTTGTCCAATGGGAAAGCCAAGGTATGCAGCTACAGTGGATGGTATTACTGCAGCACCTGCCACGTGGATGACAGTTTCCTCATCCCTGCGCGACTGGTTCATAACTGGGACACTTCCAAATACAAGGTAATCTCCCTGCAGGTTAGCTTGGTAGCAAGTGAACTGAATTGCTCTTTAGATAAAAACACAGACATTGCAACAGCTTTAAGGTTACAGGCATTGACTGCTAATAGTATTTTTTGTCACTCTTGCCAGAATCAGCCTCACTCTCTACTCTCTCAACAAGACAGGTGTTTTCACCGCTATTTCCTTAGCTAGGCCTAAGGCATTCCTCCACAGGAGCAGCCATGCTCCTCTTTCTTGGTGGCATCTTTTCCATCATTGCTTATCTTGCCGTTCAAGAGACAGGGAGAGACAGAACACTGAAATCTCTCTTTTAGCCCCGTCTTTGCAGTTATTGGGCCCTTGAGGAGTCCCTGTTTCATGAGCACTAGGGCCTATGGATTGGTACTGCTTTGTGATGGATGCTAAATTATGGAAATGCCCACGGGAAACTGGCACACCCAAACGTGGTGTTTGGAAAGCCCAGTATGTCCTGTCTCTTGGCACAAACATTTCGAGAACACTAGAACGACACTGCTATAGCAGTTACCTGGACCAGACAGCCAAAAGTAACATAAAGAGAAAATTCTACAGTTGTTCACTTGCCACACAAGCAGCTTTTCTAAAACTTCCATAATTTGCTATTTGCTGCTGCCTCGGTGACTGGTTGCAAGATAGGGGCAACTGATCACATACTTCAAAGCATTATGCCAGCAAACACGGTAGCAGTGTTGTTTTGCCATCTCAGGGAGCATATGCTGAAACAATAACAAACTCATAAGGAATCCAGAGGTTACTAGAGCTTCAGACCTAGCAGCCACTGTTAGGAGAGGCTGTTTGATGTTTTATGTCTGTGAATATTATTATGGGCTATTTGAAAAGGAAAAAAATAACCGGTAAATGCCCTATTAGAGGAAAAGCTGCTCTCTTGAAGAAAATTTGTCAGACTGGGAGATTATTAAAAGGTAACCAGAGCCTGCCATCAGGAAAATGATAGTCTTGCGCCGTGAAATGCGATTCTTCAGAGTTACAAAGCTCCTACTTGTGGAGACAAAACCCCCTCCCTTTCCTAGAAGCTAGGAATAAATATTTGAGTTCTTTGTTTGGATGCTTTTACCAAGGACTCTACTTGCTAGCCCATGGTAGTATAGGTAGCCCTGATATATGGGGCAAGTGAACAGTAAGGCAAAGACCTCATATCAAGCTGTCAGTAATACTGCCAAGAAAGTGAGCTATTTTGTTTCCTAAACCTACAGGGTGAAAACTATGCTCTGTTTCCTGTGGTATAGGTACTGGTATAGGCAGCTGAGACACAAAAGGAAATGAGACTTTCAAGCTTAAGCATTCATTGAAAATTTAAGCATACATTGAAAATCTGCTGTAATCTCATAATGATAGTGAGAAGTTACCAATTTGCACTTTTTGTAGACAGGCAGAACAGCTATAAGGTGACTTGGGAGCACAAGCAAATTCTGTGCAAATACTTCACCAGTCTCTGTGCCAAAGGGCTCAGAGAGGTGGGTTTAAGAAAGGAACATCATCTTTTAGGTAGGAAAACACTACAGCATCCTCAGCTATTAGAGCAGAAACTAAGGCAGGGAGGGAAGGTGAAGAGGACATCATGTGCCGTAGTGGCAGTGTGACAGCTGAGCTGAGATCACTGGTTGGATCTCCTCAACTCTGTCCCATCCATGTATAGCATTAAAGTAAGGAGTAGTTCTTGTTACTTTTGTGAAATCTTTGAGGTTTTCCCCTTTCTGTTCAATTCTGCATACATGTGCTTTTATTTCTGTTCCTGCTATACCTCCACGGGAACTAGGCAGTACTTTCCCGAGGTAGAGCACATATTGCCCGCACTTTTACATCCACATCTCCCTTCTCCATTCAGAGTTAAGGTCTGATGTTTGTTTCTTCTGTATGGTTTAAAAGGCAACTTAGTGCTGACGGTTGAACTTAAAATGAAACTGCATGATTCCTTAGTAGTGTATTGATTAAATGTGCTGGTTTGGCAAAGACAGATATATTGTACCACTTCCTTGAGGTGATCTTGCTAGTTATAATTTTATTTGGGCTCATTTTTAAAGGAAGATCACTTAGTTTTGTTAGTGTTTCACCTCCCATAATTGGCCAGCGTGCCCATACAAAGCTGTGCAGCAACATCCCAAAATGAAGCTAAACAACAGAGCTTCACCTAAATGCACAGCCCTGCCCCTCACAGGTAGCGCGGCAGTGCCTGAAAGTGGAGCTTCTGTGATGGGTGACTTGCTCCTGGCTGGACTCGTAGCAGACCCCAGAGAGGTCCTGCAGGAAATAAGCACATAACCACATTTGATGGTCAGAACTGAAACAGGGCTTCAGTATTCAAAAGCTTCTGTGTTTCACAGAGTCTGAAATGTGCTTGTCAGCCTACCAAATGGAAGCAAAGTGAATGTTGAAATGTTTGAATATTTGAAAACCTGCACTCGTTCCCACTGCCACCATTTCCCCACATCTGCAGAAATTTCTGGGGTCTGCCCCAAGACCCAAGGCAAACACAAATAGGTACTCTAGGACATGAGCTTTTATGACGATACAATGTAAATGGGCATGTTTCACTTTTATGTTTTGTGGACTCGTAGACATCTGAGCAGGAGCTGTAAGGTAAACTGTTGCATCAATTAAGTAAGTTTTGCAAATGGAGAGGTTGTTTGCTTTTGGCAAGACAGGTCATGAAAAAACAAGTGGTAGAAATCTGTAGAGTTGTGTTTCCCATACCCAGGGTCTTGAAAAACAACAGTGCACTTAACACCTGAAAGCACATGGGTAGGAAAAGAAAAATCCCCTTGATTGCAATAAAAGCTCTTTGAAAGGACTTGACAGTTAGGCGTGTTTCTTCTGTCCTAACCAAAGCAGCAGTTCAGTCCCCAAGTTCACTTTTTTCCATGTCTCCCTATTATTTTGATATTTGTTTTTTTCACATGTTTGTGTGAAGGGAAGAGAAAAGAGACACTCTTGTGAACATCCTTTCTTCCTTTTACTTAGGCCAACTGTTTTTCCCATTTGCATGCAAAAACCAGTAAGTATTGTAGTTTGGTTCAGGTGGCTTCAAGCCTGCTTAAAATGCCAGACAAACACAGCAGGAAATGAACTCCCTGTGCCAGAAAGCTTCAAGGGAGGCTGACTTCTGGTAAATTGAATTCTGAATTGTAAGTTTGCAGCCTCTAGAAAAGAAAGGTCTGGAAATGTTAGCATCCATCCTTGTATGACATTTAAAGCTAAAACCCTGTTGCACTTTGCATCTTCTCACTCCTTCTGGCTTAAATGGAATTGTCTAGTCTGCCCAGTAAAACTGGGGGAATGTGAGTATGCTAGTACATGTACTAGAATATTGGCTGGTAGCAAGATGCATTCTGACCTTTCCCATTATAAGACTGTATTTCAGCTTCTTGTAATTTCGCTATGGTTGGCAATGTGAGTTAAAGCTTTACCTGACCTGTGTGCCTGTGTCAGGCATGCAGAGTGAACCAACACCTACCTGTCAGCCAGTGATGCTGGGCAAAGCTACTTTTCCTGCAGTCAACTCTCCACAGGTACATTATATTGGCAAGGAGAGAGAAAGGTTTGCTTTGCCCTTCTCTCCTCAAAGGCTGCATTCAGACCGTGCAGCACTAGAGCCGCACGGCAATACTTTGTCATCATAGTGCACATGTACTGCAGAGTCACTCAGGTGACTTCAATTCTGGTATTTTTTTGTTTCCATACTCTTAACATTGCAGCCTCAGGAGAGTTGCCCCATAAAGGGTACAAGTGTGCAGAGATGTGGGTGCAGTACTTGGAGAGTAATCATCCTCTGGTTCCCGAGACAGCAGGGCAGGTGGATGAGGAGCCCATCACTTCAGCGGGGGTTTAAAGCAAGCAAGAAAGATTACAAAGACATTACTGTGCACCAAGTCCTCCTGATGGGAGGTACTGGTCACCCTACCAAGCATGCATGTGCCTCTTAAGGAATCACTGAATACGTGGCTTACTTTACCCATTGGTTGAAGAGGAAGAATATTTACTATATATACCGCAGTTGTCAGGGGATTGCTGAGCTATTACAGCCAAATAGTTTAATGATTGTAAAAGCAGGTTGTTTAACTGCAGTCTCTTTTGTGCACTGCGGTTAGCATGTCTAATGAAACATCAGCATTGCTAGTGTTAGAAAACTTGACATGTTTGGGGTTTGTAGAGTTTTGTTCTCCAAAATCTAAGTTGCCTGTGTTGCTCCTCACCCAGCACATTACCTGTGCTTCCATTCAGACAGCACAATTCCTTGTACATGTATTATTTAAAAAAAAAGAAAGAAAAAAGTAGGATGTTTAATATAAATAGGTGAGATATTTAACACAGCTTCAGGGCCTGGGAAACCTGTGGAGTTATAGTCTGCTGTATTTAAAAATACAGATTGTATTACCTGTGTAGTCATTGGTGGGAAGTCTGGCCTTGGCATTATTTCTTATATTTTTATTATACATTGTGAGAAGTTTATGTTTGGGGCTAGCTTTTCCTGTGAGTAGCTAGTGACTCCTGTAGCTAGTAACTTATACTGGTTTTGGAAGTGGTGGTGTTTATAAGCATGTATATTGCTTTTCCCTTCTTTCTACCTTACAGCACCAGAAGGGAAATAGCATACTAAATCTGAAGAGGCTATGGTGTGCCCTTTCTCCTTTTGTTAGCCTAATTCATCCCTCCCTGACTCAGTGTAAACACTGATTTAAAGGTCCAGGAGGACTAATTGAATTGTGGAGGGAATAGTATTTCTATAGCACAGTTTCAAGTGATTTGCAGCTCATTTCAGATAATCCCATCTTCTCTTTTCCAGCTGTGATAAAATGCAGAAATAAGGAATGAGAGGGAATTTGGCCTTCTCACCTCAGAAACAGGAGTATCTTTTCTAGTGGGAACAAAAGTCCCATTAGTTTATCAACGTTACAGTAGCTCTTTGCAGGTGGAGATAGAACAGAGTACTATCATGAAAAAGGCATAAGAAAAATTTCTTGCAGATGAAACATTGGGAGTGAGTAATACCAGTAAAAGTCAACTTTATCTGTATGAAAAAAGGAACACAACAACTTGATAGATGTGCTTCTGTTTATTTTCTTTTTACATAATTTTAACTATAGTGGCTGAGCATGGAACAAATGGGAGCAGTAGTTTACGCTGGAGTTCTATACCCTGGGATAGTACAATGTGATTGGATTTGCAGTGTGTATCTTTCCTTTCCTAATGTTGTACTTTGGCACTTACCTAATCATTTCCTTCTTGCCAAAAATAAAGCAGTGAACAAACCGGAAAATATTAACAGGGAAGAAACTTGGTAATCAATTTTTAGACTTGAAAAACATCTAGTAAGCTATGTTACCCTGCAGTGAAAACATGTGTGGCTGCAGATATTGCTGTACTTTGGGTAAGCAATTATCTCGTACAATCAACTTTAATGGGTTTGATGAAGTTTGACTTGGCTGTAAGCAGAGACAGTTGGATCTCTCTCAGCGCTGTCTTCATTTGTAATTGGTAACAGAGTAAGTTTTCAGATGCAGAGAATAGTTAACAGATCACAGAGGGGAAGATCTGCTTTAAAAGAGTTGGGAGGAAAGCCTAGCTAAACTGCTTTATTTTTCAGGTATCAAAGCAAGCCAAAGAGTTCCTGGAATATGTTTATGAGGAACCATTGATTGATATCCAGCAAGAAAATCCCATGTTGTACAAGCATGTTGAACCTCTCGCAACTGTTGTCCGCCTGAGACAGCAGCTAAAATCTCTCCGAGCCTATTTGTTCAGCTGCAGAGCAGCAGTGGCTGAAGATCTGCGTAGAAGGTAAGAACCACAGGCAACGTACAGCACATTTTTTCCTTGTCGTGTTACTTTTCTCTTCTTTTTTTTTTTTTTCTTTCTTTCTTCCCCTCACAATCTAGCTCTGAAGGTATTAGCCGTTTAGAAAGATGTGGTGCCTGTATCTGACTTTCCTGGGCATCTGGGCTATCTACTGCCAAAGAAAATGGTTTTATAAGGTCTGAATATCTGAAATTGTTCTTGATGACTATTAGCCCAGGGGTCACACATTGTGGTGAGTATCTTTTACTCCTCCTCAGGTTTCCTGGCTGTGCGTGAGTATTTTCAGTCAGGTGTGATACCTCATGCTCCTTGCTGTGGCATCGCAGTGCGGTAGCCACTGTTGGGAGCTTTGAAACACCTCACAGTATGGCAAAGCATGAGAGAGACCAGAGTCAACCACCTCTCCAGTGCTTCTGCCCTCTTCTGTGCTGTGATCTCACACAAAGGCAGAGGCCAGATGTAGTCCCCTGGCATGTGACCCAGCATATGATTTATGTGACACCAGAGCTGTTGGGCTCTTGCTCAGCCACTATCTTCCATCCATGATATGGCTGCACTGAGTGTTTTGTTTACTGGAAAACACGTGGTCACAGCACAAGGTGTTTTCATATTGTGTTTTCTGTTCTGGAAACAGTAGCTTTATAAAAAGTGAACTTCATTTTAGAAGAGTTGTATCTTAGTCCATTCAGCTGCTGCTGTATTTTTCTAACAAGCTAAAAATGAACGATCTTCTTGAAATCATCAAGCGACAGTTGTGACCTTAAAAAAGCCAAGTTACTTTTGTTGTGGATCTCCAAAAGAGATGGGAAGATGTCTCTGCCCATGCCGTACTGTGAGGTGAGTAGCTCCAGGCACATGCAGCTGACCTGATGGTAAATACATCCGTCAGCATCTGTATACTCCAAGTTTGTAAGTAAGACAAGACTGCAAATAGGAAAGCTACTGCTTTGAAATTAGGAGCTGCCAAATGGCAAGAAAGCAGATGACATCAGTGACTGTAATTTTGAGCATGGTGTTTTAGGGATGGGGGACCTGAATTCTCTGGGAGGCAGAGGTGGCTGCACTAGTGCCTTCATCCCAGGTAAGGAGTGAGGTGGTCTGCTGTTTGGTACATAACTGATGTCATTGCTTTGAAGAACTACCTAGAACAGCTAAGAGAAGGATATAGGAACAAGTTTCTGGAGAGCACTGCCGAGTTCTTGTGTCAGACCCACTGTGTGCTAATATATGTTTGTGTCTTACTGCTCAATTCCTATTCTTTGATAGGGCATCTTACAGCATTTAAAAATATTTAGGATTATTTTTCTTTTATTCTAGAGAATGGTATTATTTTTCAGAGCTGTTTTGCTATTCAGCCATAATAACGTTCCTATGCCATCCTCTTCAACTGCAATAAAGCTGAAGGGAGAGTAAGATTTATGAAAGCTGTCATTCAGAAAAAGTGGCAGAAAAGAAATTATGCTTTCTGATTAATGCTGAAGAAAAGAATGCCCTGATCAAAATAGACAGGAGGAGGCATGAGACTGAATGGACTTGGGTAAGGGAGTGAAAAGAGAGATCAAAGGAGGTCTAAGCAGAGAAATGAATGGATTAGAGACAAAGGGATGAGGGAGAGCCAGGAGAAGGAGATTCAAAGAGGGAAAGGATCTCAGGAAATTAGGAGTAAATGAAGAAACCAAAACAAAGGGGGAGCCCCAAAACCTACCTCCAAAAAGGAGAGATGACAAGTGCTGAGGAAATGGAGGGAAGAGAGAATGGATAAAAATTAGTACACAAATGTGTGCGTGGTCTTTTCTTGGGGCAGGGTGGAGAGAGAAAAAACTCCTTGTATCAAAATGGAACACCCAGAATGACAGAAGGGGAAACTGGGAAATACTCCAAATGCTCCCTTTTCTTAGATAAAGGTTTCTTCATGCTGTCTCCAATTAAAGTTCTCTGTGGTGGAGAGGAGGACCCCAGCCCATGAAGGCTTTGGTTTTCTACTAGGGAATCATCTTTGGTTTGATAGGACTTGTTAAGCCACTGAAGAAATGTACAAAACACACCTTAGAGTCCAGCTCCTTCTTGGTCTGTGAAATATCTGTCGGGGTGGGTTTGGTGCTCCGTTAGTCCATCAGATCTCCCCTAAGAGGTTTGCCGAGATGGAAAGGAAGAAAAGTTCTTTTCCCAGAAGGAGTTATTCCTTGCTCAAAATGGTCCCAATGGCTTTGCTTTCTGCATCTAGTATCCCAGTGTGCAGACATTCACTATCAATGTGATGGCTTTATAGAGCACAGCTGAAAAGTAAACAAAATATGTGATTTAAGTCTCCATTTGGCTCATCTCATGGGCAAGTTGCAAGAAAAGGAGGAGTTTAAACAATATGGTGATACAGCATTCCTAAATTTAGTACTGTTTCCTAGTTAGAAATGCAAGACTGAGGGAGAGAATCCAGTTATCTGTCCTGCTCTAAAAACATTCTTTTTCTGCTTGGTCTTCACCTTAGTATGTGAATGACTATTAATCACAAGAAAGTGAACACAGGCATCTTGAAGACCTGTCAGACCCATATAAACAGACTGAAACAAACTGTTAATATTGCTGTCTAGGGAGAACTAAAAACAGACTGATTAATTGTATTGGCACCTTGCTGCCTTTGGGACACTGATAGAGCCTGCCTTATTAGGGAAAAGCAGATCACTCTGAGGTTTCTTTTATTAATAGTATTTGCATTATCATCTTTAAATCTATACCTTGTTCTTGAACCCAGAAGACAAAATGAAGATGACAGTGAAGTGGGAAATTCTTGGTGTCCTCTGGGAAGACAAAACTGTTTACAGTGCTTACAAGTCACTTTTTCTGAAGAATTCCAGATGGCTATAAAACAGGTTAGCTCAGGATCCAGTTGGCTTAAATGTGGAAATGTTATTTGTAATGCTTGGTGTAGCATAGATAGGTACTTCGGGAACTTTGAAACTTGGCATCTAGCAGAGAACTCAGCATTGAACCACGCTGTGAACTTTGAAGAAGCGAGTGACCAAGTAGAAAGAAAGGAAGAAAAAAAGGAAGAAAGGAAAAGAAGCAGAAGAAATCCTAAAAGTAGCTGGAAGGCTCGCAATAAAAGTGGCCTTCATCAGTTAGAATGATTTATTCTCACCTATTGCTCCACTGGATTCTAAGCTCTTTTTATATTTACAAGAGCAAAAAATAAGGAACTTGGATTTGGCTGGGAGGAGAAATAAGGCCCTCCACCAGTGCATATCAGTGGTGTTCCTCTGAGATTAGCCAACTGAGACTCGGAACCTATTGCTGAGCTCCCTGTTTTACAAGGGATGTTGTTATGCCTAGTTTGTTGTGGCTGTCACCTCAAGTATTGCAACAGACATGATTTGCCTCAAATGTCTTTACTCAACAAGTTCTTGCTTGTTTTGGTTGCCTTTCTTGTGTGGATGCTGTTCAGGCAGAAACATGCATGACTAAAACCTAGAGCCGATGTTAGTACAAGTGGAGCTGTACAGATCCCACCACCACCTGCACATTGTGGGGTGATGAATGAATGGCACAGGCAAACAAGATGGGAGTCAATAAAACTGATAGCTGGGAAAGAGCGAGAATCTCTGAGTCCATTAAATAATGAGGTTACTATGTGAAGCCGTGCTGAATGATGCAACTTTTATTCTGGTTTTGCTTTCTTCCTTTTCTCTCTAGACATAAGACACACTAACAGTCTGTCCGTATGCCACAGCCTCTTTTTCTCTGTTCTTGTCATGGTTAAAGGCTCTTCAGGTCAAGGAACTGTCAGAATGATTTTTTTTTTTATTTTTTTTTTTTTTGAAATCTTCAGGCACTTCCATGTCTACTGTAGGGTAGACTAACCCAGGTCAACTGTGGAGCTCTCTCTGGGCTTTCTCTTCTCTCAGCTATACACCTAAACTTGCAGTCCAGGTGTTGCTAGCCCAGATATTTTAGACAGATGGCAGTGACACAAGGTAAATGTTCAGCAGCGCATTCCTCTATACATCGCTCTGTAAGTAAATCTTCTGAATGGTGGTGAGAGACTATATGGAAAATTCCCTCTTGTTACTCATCTTTCTCTGATACCATTTGCCTCTCAGCTCCAGAACAGCAATACATCAGTTTTATCCCAGCAAAACTCCAGTGCTGGATACATTACTTAGTGTCTTACAGGAAGACCAAATCAGGGCTTGCTGTTGCGGCAGGCAGTTAAAGGTACGCCTCCAGTGCTGCAGATGTGTGGTCCTGGCTGAGGACCTGTCAGCACAATGCAAAACAAGCCCAAATTCAGTTATGCTGAACAATAGAGTCCTGTCACTTCCTACAGTGAGACCTTAGATGTATCACTTCTGACACAGGAGTAGATTACTTTCAAAATATTTGTGTGGCAATTGGGGAACCTGTCTAAACACATCACAGGAATCCTGATTGATCTTACGCAATCACTATACCACCAAATACCTCACATATGTGAAACTGGGGCTATGTCATCTTTCAGACCAAGGACAACAGAAGGTCATTAAGTCATGTCCAGACTGTCAAAGGAGACTGTTTTCTCCATTTTCTTTGCAATGGATAGGCCATTTGGAGAGTGGAAAATCCCAAAGCATGAGAACAAAGACACAACTTGTGAAAGCAGTAGACTGCAAAAAGACGTTTTGAGCTGAAAAGGAATGGAAGGATGTGGTTTCATAGCACTCAGGGCTTTGAGTTAACAGCAAGACCAACAGAAGAAGAAAAGAAGAAAATTTGATGCACAGGTGATTGGAAGGAGGGCAAGAGAAAAACTCATTCAAAGAGGATATCTGGATATCCTGAGAGGCTCTAGTGTTAATACTAAACAACACCCCAAAGTAAGGAAAGGTGAGAAAATAAATGCAGAGAAGTATGCACGAGCCACTTGTTTTATATAGATCCTGCATGCGTGTAGTCATTGCAGTAGCTGCAAGAAAGCATGCCTGTTGATGGAGCTCTTACGAACAGACCAA